GACCCCCAGCAAGATAGATTGTCAAAGTGGCAGCATCAATGGGCTCAAGTGTGGCAACAATTGTGAAATTGACCCATGGCTGGGCAGTGTTTCATTCTGTTGTGCATAGGGTTGCTATGAGTCGGTATCAAGTCAATGGCACCTAATAACAACAAACCCAATCACTTAGTGGGAAATTAAGAAGACATTGGGTAGAAAAGCCATAGGAAGTAAATTCAAGGTACCACAGTGTCTTCCAAATTTCTTGGTATATGTGAGTGAGCACCTTCAGTGCTGTTAGTTGGTTGAAAGATTGCAATTTGTGTTCTGTCAATTCCTGTATTTTTGTTTTTTGCCAATGCCTTCAGTACAACTTGGGCTGCTTTCTTTCGTACTATTTTCTCCTGATCATATGCTACCTCTTAAAATGTTTGAACATCAACCACTTCATTTTGGTACAGTGACTCTGTGTAAACCTTCCATCTTTTTTTGATGCTTTCTGTATCATTCAATATTTTGGCCAAATAATCCATCAGTATTGCAAGTTGAGCCTTGATATTCTCTTCAGCTCTTTCAGCTTGAGAAATACTGAGTATGTTCTTTCCTTTGGATTTTCTAACTCCAGATCTTTATACATTTTATTATAATATCTGGCTTTGTTTTCTTTAGCTACTCTTTGAAATTTTCTTTCAGCTATTTTACTTCCTCATTCTTCCATTCACTTTAGCATCTGTAGGCTGGAAAGCAAATTTCACAGTCTCTTCAGATATCCATTTTGTCTTTTCTGTCTTTCCTTTCTTTTTAATGACTTTCTGATTCTCCCTGTATGATGTTCTTGATGTCATCCCACAACTCTTCTGGTCTTTGGTCATTAGTGTCTAATGCATTAAATCTAAATTCAGTGTGATATATTTAAAGTCATATTTTAGCTCTCATGAATTTGTTTTAATTTGCTTCAGCTTCAGCCTGAACTTGCATATGAGCAATTGATCGTTTGTTCCACAATTTACCCCTGGCCTTGTTTTGGCTGATGATATAGACCTTTTCCACCATCTCTTCCCACAGATGTAGTCAATTTCCATTTAGTGAGGTCCATGTGTGTAGTCTCCTTTTATGTTGTTTAAAAAAGGTATTTACAATGAAGTCATTGGTTTTGCAAAGTTCCATCATGCACTCTCCACTATTATTTCTCTCACAAAGTCCATCTTTTCCAAATATTGATCTGTCCTCTTTGTTTCAAACCTTTGCATTAGTCATCAATAATAACTAGTACATCTTGATTGCATGTTTGATCAATTTCAGACAGAAGAAGTTGGTAGAATTCTTCAATTTCATCATCATTGGCTTTAGTGATTGATGCATAAATTTGAAGAATAGTATTAATTGCTGTTCCTCGTAGATGTGGATATTATCCTATCACAGACAGCATTGTATGGATTTCTAGATCGATTTTGATGTGTTCTTTTTGATGATGTATGCTCTGCCATTTCTCTTGAATCTGTCATTCCCAGCATAATAAACCACATGATTGTATGATTAAAAATAACCAATACCAGTCCATTTCAGCTCACTAATGCCTAAAATATCAATTTTTATGTGCTCCATTTAATGTTTAGCAACTTCCAATTTTCCTAAATTCATATTTTGTACATCCCATGTTCTGATTATTAATGGTTGCTTACAACTCTTTCTTCTTATTTTGAATTGTGCCTCATCAGCAAATAAGTATCTCCAAAGCTTAATCCATTCACATTATCATGGTCAAGTTTACTTTGAGGAGGAAGCTCTTCCCCAGTATTTTCTGAGTGCCTTCCAACCTGAGGAACTGATCTTCTGGCACTATACCTGACAATATTCTAGTGCCGTTCATTTCTGTTTTCATTTTCTAGCATTATATCTGACAATGTTCCACTACCATTCATAAGGGTCTCCATGGCTAAACATTCAGAAGTGGTTTTCCTCTCCTTCTTCCTAGTCTGTCTTAGTCTGGAAACTCAGTTTAAACCTGTCCACCATGGGTGACTTTGTTGGCATTTAAAATACAGGTGGCATAGCTTCTAGCATCACAGCAACATGTAAGTGACCACAATATGACAAACTGACAGACAAGTGGTGGGCATCTCCTGCGGTACCCTACAAATTCAAATTTTATAAGCATAAGTGATATTTATTACATACTAGCTTCTGTCTAAGCATTTTACATATATATTGAATAATTCACTCTTTAAAAAAATAATAATAGCCCATTTTACAGATGAGGGAATTTAGTCATAAGGAAATTAAGACATCCACCAAAGACACATAACTAATAATCTATGAAGTCAGAATTGAAACCTGGGACCACAGTCTTAACCAACTCACTGTACTTTTTTATTTTTGAATCATACAATAACCTTGAGAGTATCACAATAATATCACATTGAATTTTTGTGTTAATATTAATTTACCACCAATCTCCCAGTCCTTTATTATGCACAGGAATCTCATTTTTTTCTGTATCTTTGGTTTGGCATCTTTAATTTTTTAATATACTTGGACTTCAAGAAAAAAAAGGATATGTGCCTCCTCAGCCTCAGAAGGCCTTGCTCTGAAGCAAGACCAAATGATGACAAGAGAGTCTGTGATCCAACTAACAGTTGACCTGCATTTCTTTCCCTTGGAGCTTCCTGTCATTCATGTCCTCGAAATGCCTATTGTGTTAATGGAACTCACTGTACCTGTCAACATGGATATGAGTCTCAGCAAAAGTTTTTCACGTTCCCCTTGACAATATGTGAAGGTAAATGAGTTTTTTTTTTTCATGTTTTACTGTGAATTATGTGATAGCTTACATGGGAGAACATTAGTTTTACATTCACCCTATTGTATATCGTTTCATTGCCATGGTTACAATCCCCTCCATGCATCATCAACCAACCAAAGGGTATACACTGCAAGCCTGCCCCCTGTTGTCAGCACACAGCCCTTCTCCCTGTCTATGTTTAAAGTCCCCAACAGCTCCATCTCTCCACTTCATCATCTCTGGCATCACTGCTTCTCTGGGTAGGTCCTGCTCTCCACTCTTCTCCCTTGACGATCCCAGGGACCTCTGCTCCTAGACTGAAAAGTTAATCACTCCCCTTCTTGCTACAAAATGTCTACCTTTACATTTCCAACCCTCACAATCAGTCCTATAAAAGTTATTCACTATTGTATCACAAGAGACCTATCCTCCTTTCCTTTCATCAGTGGAGATTCTACTTTCCTCCAAGTAAATAGGTAATTTTTTTATTGTGATAATTTTATTATTTTTATTGTGATTTTTTAATATTTCTATCGGCATCTCAACAATTTCTACATACACAATTCATTGACATTAATTACGTTCTTTGAGTTGTGCAATAATTCTTGCTTTCAAAATCATTCCACCGCCATTTATATAAACTCAATGCTCCCTTATTAAAACTTCACCGTTCCTTCCATCAGCACCCAACCAGGAGTCATTTCCACTCATAGTAGTAACCACTAATAAGCTTTAGTTTCTGTGTATTTGCTTATTTAATATAAATGATTTTGTACCATATTTGTACTTTTCTGACTGACTTACTTCATTCAGCATACTGTTTTCAAGAATCATTCATCATGCATCAGGACATGTTATGAATAGTTAATATTGCATTTCCCCACATGTCTGTCACTTAGATGTGCTGTGGTGGTTTTCATTTACTATGATGGTAGAAGCTGTACCACTGGCATTTCAGTTACCAACAGAGTCACCCCTGGTGGATGGGTTTCAGTGGAGCTTTCAGAACAAGAACACACTAGGAATTAAAAATAGGCAGTCCACTTCTGAGTGATGAGACACTGAGGTGCATTGTCTGGTGTAGTGCCGGCAGATGAGCCTCTCAGACTGGAAGGCACACAAAATACGACTGAAGAAAAGCTGCCTCCTTGAAGTAGAGTCAACCTTAATAACAAGAATGGAGCAAAACTTTGGGACGTTCATTTGCTATTAGGACACAATTCAAAATGAGAAGAAACAGCTGAAAACATCTACTAATAATCATAAAGAGGAATGTACAAAATATGAATCTAGAAAAATCTGAAATCATCAAAACTGAAATGGAATGCATAAAAATTGATACCCTAGGCATTAGTGTAATGAAATGGATATTAGCCATTGTGAATCAGACATTCATATGGTTTACTATGTCAGTAATGACTCATTGAAGCAGAATGGCATGGTATTCATCTTTCTAAAAAAAATATTTCAAGATCTATCTTTAAATGCAATGCTGTCTGTGAAAGCAGAAAATACATGAAAGATAATTACTTGTGCTTTATTGACTATGCAAAGACATTCAACTGTGTGGGTCATAACAAACTATGGATAACGTTGTGAAGAATGGGTATTCCAGAACACTTAATTTGCTCTTGAGGAACCTATACATAGATCAAGAGGCAACTGTTAAAACAGAACAAGGGGATACTGAATGTCTTAAAATCAGGAGATGTATGCTGGGCAAGTAATCTAAGAAGTTAGATAATATGAAGAAGAATGTGGCATCAGTATAGGAGAAGGAATTATTAACAACCTGCAATATGCAGATGACACAACTCTGATTGCTGGAAGTGAAGAGAATTTGAAGTACTTACTGATGAAGATCAAAGACTACAGCCTTCAGTATGGATTGCACCTTAAAGTAAAGAAAACAAAACTCCTCACAACTGGACCATTAAATAATATCATGATAAACAGAGAAAGATTGAAGTTGTCAAAAGTTTAATTTTGCTTGGATCCACAATCAACGTGCATGGAAACAGCAGTCAAGAAACTGAATGTTGTATTGCAATAGGCAACTCCTCTGCAAAAGACGTCTTTAAAGTGTTTAGTAGATATGTGTGTACATATATACATGTGTATCATTTTATGGCTAAGGTGCACCTTACCCAATCCATGGTATTCACATGCCTCAAGTGCATGTGAAAGTTAGATAATGAATAAAGAAGACTGTAGAACAACCAATGTATTTTAAGTATGGTTTTAGCAAAGAATACTGAAAGCACCATGGACCACCAGAAGAGCAAGTAAAACTGTCTTGGAAGAAGTACAGCTAGAATGTTCATTAGAAGTAAGGATGGCAAGACTTGGCCTAACATACTTTGAAATGTTGTCAGGAGAGACCAGTCAATGGAGAAGGATGTCATAAAGTGGAGGATCAACAGGAAAGCAGAAGAACCTCAAAGAGATGGACTGACACAGTGCAACAACAATGGACTCAAGCATAGCAACAACTGTAAAGATGACACAAGAGTGGGAAGTGTTGTATTCTATTGTGTATAAGGTCACTATGAGTCGGAACTGACTCTAGGGCACCTAATAACAAGGAAGACAAGTTAATACAATTAATATTCAAATTTATGAACCAATCACCAAAGCCAGTGATGGATGATTAAATGGAAGAATTCTACCATCTTCAGTTTTAAATTGATCAAATGTGCAATTAAGATGCATTGATAATTACTGGTTATTGGAATGCAGAAGTTGGAAACAGGAGGGATCAATAGTTATCACCTTGGTGATGGAAATTATGCTAGAGATAACATGATAGAATTTTGCAGACAAATGACTTATTTGTTACAAAATCTTTTTCAACAACATAAATGGCAACTATACACATGGACATCACCAAATGGAATACACAAGAATCAAATTGACTACATCTTTGGGAAGAGACAGCAGAGAAACTCAGTACTATCAGCCAAAACAAGGCCTGGGGCAGACTGTGGGACAGACCATCAATTGTTCATATGCAAGTTAATGCTGAAGCTGAAGAAAATTTTAAAAGTCCACAGAGCCAAAATTCAGTATGTCCCACCTGAATTTAGAGACCATCTCAAGAACAAATTTGGTGCATTAAACACTAATGACTGAAGACCAGAGGAGTTGCAGGATGACATCAAGGACATCATACATGAAGAAAGCAAAAGGTCATTCATTTAAAAGGCAGAAAAGAAAGAAAAGACCAAAGCAGATGTCAGCAGAGACTCTGAAACTTGCTCTTGAGTATAGAATAGCTAAAGCTAAATGAATAAATGATAAAATAAAAGAGCTTAACAGAAAATTTCAAAGGACAGCTCTAGAAGACAAAGTAAAATATTCCAATGAAATGTGCAAAGACCAAAATGCTCATCATTTTTCAAGCTGAAAAAACTGAAGGAAAAATTCAAACCTCGTGTTGCAATATTGAAGGATTCTACTGGCATTAAAAGAAGATGGAGGGAATATGCAATCACTGTACCAAAAGGAATTGGTTTAATGTTCAGATATTTCAGGAAGTAGCATCTGATTAAGAACCAAAAATATCAAAGGAAGACATCAAAGCTACACTGAAGACATTAGTGAAAAACAAGGCTCCTGGATTTGATGGAATTTGCAAAGGTTTCAATAAAGTGATGCAGTGCTGGAAGCAGTCATTATTCTATGCCAGGGTGGGGAAAGTTTTTCCTATCAAAGGCCATTTGGATATTTATAACACCATTCACTGGCCATACAAAATTATCAACTTAAAATTATTCACTCTTAATGTGATGGGTGGAGTCCTGGTGTGGCTGGACTAATGCACTACTGTGTGGGCTGATGCACTAGACTGCAAAATCGGTTTGACCACAAAATCACTGGTTCAAGCTCACAAGCTGCTCCTTGGAAACCCTATACAGGGTCACTATGAGTCGGAACCTACTCGACGGCACTTAACAACAACAATGTGATGGGTGGAACTACAGCTGCCTTGGCAGGGCAAGAACTAATGATTTCACAGACCTTCTACACATGGACCAAGAGACAGTTGTTCAAACAGAACATGGAAACACCAAATGGTTTAAAATTAAGGAAGGTGTGTGACAGGGTTGTATTCTTTCACCATACTTATTCTGGGAAGCTGGGTTATATGAAGAAAAACATGGCATCAGAATTGGAGGAAGACTCATTAACAATCTGTGATATGCCAATGATACAACCTTGCTTGCTGAAAGTGAAGAAAACTTAAAATATTTATTGATGAAGGTCAAAGAGCACAGCCTTCGGTATGGATTGCATTTCAATGTCAAGAAAACAAAAATCCTCACCACTGGACCAGTAAACAACATTCTTATCAACGGAGAAAAAATTGAAGTTGTCAAGGACTTCATTCTTCTTCAATCAACTATCAACACTCACGGAAGTAGCAGTCAAGAAATCAAATGATGTATTGCATTAGGCAAATCTGCTGCTGCACAAGACCTTGTTACAGTGTTGAAAAACAAAGATGTCAGCTTAAAGAATAAGGTGCACTTGACCCAAGCCATGGTATTTTCAATAACCTCATATGCATGTGAAAACTGGACGGTGAATAAGGAAGACCATAGAAGAATTGATGCTTTTGAGCTATGGTGTCGGAGGAGAATATTGAAAGTGCCATGGGCTGCCAAAAGAACCAACAGATCTGTTTTGGAAGAAGTGTAGCCAGAGTGATCCTTGGAGGCCAGGATGGCCAAACTTCGTCTCTCATACTTCGGACATATTGTCAGGGGGGACCAGTCGCTGGAGAAGGATATCATGTTTGGTAAGGTGGAGGGTCAGAGAAAAAGAGGAAGACTCCCAGTGAGATGGATTGACCAAGTGGCAGCATCAGTGGGCTCAAGCATAGCAAAAATAGGGAGGTTGGCCCAGGACCAGGCAGTGTTTCGTTCTGCTGTGCATAAGGTTGCTATGAGTCAGCACCAACTCAATGGCACCTAACAACAACACACACCCACAAACCAGACATTTTCCCATCCCTGCTCTATACCAAGGAATTTGGAAAACAGCTATCTAGCCAACCAAGTGGAAGAGATTCATATCTGTGCCCATTCCAAAGAAATATGACCCAGAGGAATGCAGAAATCATTAAACAATATCATTAATATCAGACACAAGTAAAAGTTACTGAAAATAATTCAAAAGCAGTTGCAGCAGTACATCAATAGGGAACTGCCAGAAATTCAAGCAGATTCAGGAGGGAACATGGAACTACGTCATTGCTGATGTCAGATGGATCTTGGCTGAAAATAGAGAATACCAGAAAAATGTTTGATGTTGTTGTTAAGTGCCATCAAATTAGTTCCAATTTATATTGACCCTGTGTAGGGTTTCTGAAGAGCAGCTGGCCTTGCTGTTCAAACTGACCTTGCACTCCTGTGCTTATCCTACAGAGCCACACCAGAAAGAAGTTAACGTGTGTTTTACTGATTACATAAAGACATTCAACTGTGTGGATAATAATAAACTATGGATAACATTTCGAAGAACCAGAATTTCAGAACACTTAATCGTGCTCATGAGGAACCTGTACATAAACCAAGAGGCAGTTTTTTAACAGAACAAGGGGACACTGAATGAAGTTGTTTTTTGTTTTTGTTACATTGAGTTGTAGTCTTTACTGAACACAGGAAGGTGTTCACCAGGGTTGTGTATGCTTTCACTAGATTTACTCAATCTGTATGCTAAGCATATAATCCAAGAAGCTAGATAATGAGAAGAAGAGCGTGGCATCAGGTTTGGAGGAAGGCTCATTAACAACCTGTGATTTGCAGATGACACAATGGTACTTGCTGAAAGTTAAGAGGACTTAAAATACTTACTGATGAAGATCAAAGACAGAACTCAAAGTAACAAAAAACAAAAATACAACAGGGCCAGTAAGCAACATCATAATAAATGGAGAAAAGATTAAAGGATTTAATTTCACTTGGATCCATTACCGATGCTCAGAGTCCTGGTGTGGTGCTGTCAGATAAGCACTTGACTGCTAACCACAAGGTTGGCAGTTGAAACCCACCAGCTGCTCCTAGGAAACTATATACGGGATCACTATGATTTGGAACCAACTCCACGATGTTTAACAACAACCATCATTGTTCATGGAAGTATTCAAGAAATCAAATAACATCTTGAACTGTAAAATTCTGCTGCACAAGATCTCTTTAAAGTGTTAAAGATATAAGATGTCACTTTGAGGACCTGAGAGAAAGTGATGCATTTGAATTGTGGTGTTAGTGAAGATTTTTGAAAGTGCCATGGGCTGCCAGCAAAAAAAGCAAATATATCATGAAAGAACTACAGCCAGAATGCTCCTTAGAAGTGAGTATAGCAAGACTCTGTCTAACATAGTTTGAATATGTTATCAGGAAGGACCTGTCCCTAGAAAAAGAAATCATGCTTAGTAAAGTCATTGAAAAACAGGAAGAGCTCCAATGAGATTAACTGACATAGTGACTGCAGGAATTGGCCCAAAGTTAATGATTCTGAGGCTGGCACTGGAATAACAGATGTTTCCTTCTGTTGTGCACAGGGGTGGCTACGAGTTAGAACTGAGTCAATGGTGTCTACCAACAACTCTCCCCTTATTCTCTTTCCTCCTCTCAAGATTCCACCACAAGATTTAGTGGTCTTAGCTACATCACACTTCATATATGAAAGATGGTTTCCAGGACAACAAGGCCAATGCTGCTAGCTTACTTAAAGACTATACTCAAATAGTGTCGTTTCCAATGTACTTTATTGGACAAAGCAAGCACAGACCAGCCTAGTTTCAAAGAAAGGAGAAACGGATCCCATTTCTCAGTGGAAGGAATATCAGAAAAGTTGTGTCCACCTTTAATCTACCACAAAGAGACAAAAGGATGACATTTTATCTCTTCTAGCAGCACAAACAAGTCACCATCTGTCCCTTGATATCCTGTATGTGTCACTTACAGTTAATTTTTCCTTTGCAAGAAACCAAATGTCCAACCAACCATGATTTAAACCAGAGGGACAGATGGATTCTCACAAAGCATGTTGACAGCTTCAGCAGTCTACAGAATTGAGGACTCCAAGCTCTATCTACTTTCCTGCCCTCAAACCCCAACATGCTGATCACATCTTAGTCCCAAAGTGGCTGAAATAACTTCTGACTACATGCACATCTTTATGGAGTCCTGGTGTGGCACTGTAGAAAAGACTGCTAACTGTAAGGTCAGCGGCTCAAACCACCAGTCACTCCTCAGAAATCCTATACAGGGTCACTGTGAGACAGTACCAACTCAACTACACTCAACAATAACAACAACAACACATATTTAAGCCATATCCAAATTAAGGCAATCAGGGAGTAGGGGTAGACCCATCTGTACTTTTTATCAGAAAATATAATTTTTCCCAGAAGTCCCCCTGCCAACCATCCCTTACCTTTCATTCACTGGGGCTGTGTCACATGGCCATCCTTGATGAAAGAGAGTCTGGGAAAGAGAATATCTGAGAAATGGGAACAAAATCTCCTAAACAGAGGAGAAAAGCAGGTGGAATGGATATTATGCACACAATAATGACTACCACACTGTCTCAGTCAGGAAATCTCCAATTTCCTGTTTATTAATTCTGGTAGCATAGTGGTTACGAATCGGGCTGCAAACCGCAAGATCAGCAGTTCGAAACTACCAGCTGTTCTGAGGGAGAAAGATGAGGCTTTCTGCTCCTGTAAAGATTTACAGCCTCAGAAACCCTGTACAGGGTAGATGTGAGTCGTAACTAACTCCACGGCACATAACAACAACAACAACCAGAAAAAGATTATGTACTTTTCATTTGTCTGATCATCCCCATTGTAAAGGAACTTCAGTGACCCTCAGGAATGGAGACACAGTGGCTTAACAAAGGCATTCTCACTCAATTATCAAGTACAGCTATTTTGTGTATGCAAGTATATAACAGTGTGTGTCAATTACCAAGTATAAAAAATAGCTGCACTTGCTAATTAAGTGAGAATGCCTTTGTGAAATCACTGTTATAGTTCCTTAGACATATCCTTCAAGGAACTTTCATTGCACAGTGATTAAAGCACTTGGATATTAACCAAAAGGTTGGTGGTTCAAGCCAACCAGACACTCCATGACAGAAAAAAATGTGGCAGTCTGATTCTGTAAAGATTTACAGTCTTGGGAACACATTGGGGCAGATTACTCTGCCCTTTAGGCTCGCTGTGAATCTGACTTGACTCACCAGCAGTGGGTTTGGGATTTTTATTTGTTTGGGAGCATACTTCAGCCAATAAATGATGAAAGTTGATAAATTCCCTTCTCGCTCAGATAGAATCACCCTGAAGTGTGTTCTCAACACTTCCTCCCAGGAGCCCCTAAATGATTGAGCCCCAGGTGCCCATAATGGAAACTCACTTGACAGCACTCCTTTGATTTTCTGCCATTCCTTCTCTGTCCCACTTCACCGCTTGCCTTCCATTGTTTTCTGGAATCACCTTCCAAGTAAAGTACTTGCACTTCAATCCTTGTCTCAATGGAGAACCCAGCCAAAGTAAATAAGGAAAAGAAAGAACTGAGCTGAGTTTTTGTGGGTTGTTTTTGTGTGTGTGTGTGAAAGTCACATAATAAATGTACAGTAAATCTTTGTTGACTGAATAATTAAACTTTACCTTTGTGTTACAGATAGTAATGAATGTGCACCACCCATTAGTTTGTATTGTGGAGTAAATGCTGTATGTAAGAATATTCCAGGAAGTTACTACTGTCAATGTAATTCTGGATACAGACTTCTTTCTGGAGGTATACAATTCAACAGTTCCAATGAGAACACTTGTCAGGGTAAGAAACTTCTTGACTTCTTGTTTTCCTTCATTTTCTGTTGAGTCAAACAACGGTAAATGCATTTTCATTGTGGGACAAGGATGTGTTTCTATTAACTGGAGGGAAATGTTGGATGATGAAGAAGAGCTAGAAACTTAGAAATATAGTCAATGCTGGAGATGCCACAGGATGTAGATGAGATGGGAAAGAAGTAATCTGGCTCCATCCTGCCTCTGCTCTCTAGTATTCTTCCAGTGCCTTCTATTAGTTATACACATGAGGAAGCCAAGAGATCCTTGGAAATGTTCGTTCTCTATGAACCGGAACAGAACATGGAAAGAATGGCTATAAATCTGAAGGCCAAATGGTAGCTGATTGGCAACCACCTTTTCCAAAGAATGTAAAATCTTTTGTTTAAGTTAAGGTGGAAGCCTGGTAAGACTTATTTAAAGAATCCATTTCACCCTGTGTTGTTTAAATATGACTGGTAGTTCTTGTTATATAGCTAGTGGAAGGATCTGTCCCCTCTTTACAAGCTTTCTTCAAAAAAATGAAACTCCCTTATAAATCTCAGTTTGTACCTTCACGTTATCTTATAAATCTCAGTTTGTACCTTCACGTTATCTTATAAATCTCAGTTTGTACCTTCACGTTATCTTATAAATCTCAGTTTGTACCTTCACATTATCCAGATTTTTTTTTTTAGTAGATTCTCAATTTTCTTTTCACTGTTGAGTTTTTCAGTCACTGAGTCAAAGTTTATAATTGATGGTTCTATTTAGTAGACATAGAAAAGACATTGTTCTCAAAAGTTTCTCAGTAGACTTCTTATTATGTCTGTTTGGCTAGACCTGGGTCAAATGCCCACCCCTAAACAAGTCCCTAAATAATAGAATGGGATGTCAGAGCTGGTCCCAAGGACTGGAGATGGTGTCTTCCTTTCACACCTAATCAAAATTAGTATTCTGTTAGCAAGAGAGAAAAAGTTGTTGGATGAGTATCCTTCAGGGATGACCCCTGGAAGCCCTTCTGATGATGCATCCTCCGTCTCTCCCGATTTTGGACCCTGGAAGACATGGTGGAAAAGAGAAAATACTCTTGCAAAGACTTGAAGACAAGTTCAAAGGGAAAAGAGTACAATAGAATTAAAGTTCCAACATCCATGTCGAGAAGACAAGAAAACACACAGGGCAAATAGAAGGAGTGCCAAGACTCAAGTCCAGCCTCTCCAGGTTCCTTTTCACTAGCTCAGACCTTGAATGAATAGCTGTAGATTAAATTAATGAATATCATTCAACCTGAATGAATCCATTTTACTAGGCAACAGGCCCCTTTACTGAAATATGGAAGCAGATTGATAGTCTACTTGGGTTCAGCTGTTGCTGTTACTTGTTGTCAGGGACCCCATGCACAACAGAGCGAAACACTGTGCGATCCTGCACAGCCCTCACAATTGTTAGGTTTGAGCCCATTGCTGCTCAGTTAAATTCACCTTATTTCACAAGAAAGCAAAATGACTTTGGTTATTTTCCTAAATTTAAAAGCTTGCTATGAGTCGGTACTGACTCAATGGCACCTAACAACAACAACATGCAGTTCTCTCTCGGGTCCTCACTTCCAAAATGACAAAGAAAAGGAGAGACAACATGCCAAAAAGGACCGCGGCCTCGTGCAGCCAATATAGGAAACCCTATACAGGGTTGCTATGAGTCAGAACCAACTCAATAGCACCGGCTGCGTGCCCAAAGACAAGGCCATAAGAAGTTCGTAATTCGAAGCATAGTAGAGGCCGCAGCCATTGGGGTTCTTTCCGAAGCGAGTGACTTCCATGCATACGTGTTTGCCAAGCTGTATGTGAAACTCCATTAGTGTGTGGGCTGTGCCATTCACAGCAAGGTGGTCGGGAGCCGTTCTCGTGAAGCTCAGAAGGACAAGACACCCCCACCCCGATTTAGACCTGCAGGTGCTGCCCCATGGCCCATGTAAAGAATTGAGCCCTTAAAGACTGAAGTAAAACTATCCTGCAAAAAAGTAAAATGAAAATTACACTTTAAACAAACAAACAAACAAACTGCTTCTATGCAGTCCATTTAGGAGTCCCAGTATGGCACTGCAGGTTAATGCACTGGACTGCAAGGTCGGTTTGAACCACAAGGTCAGTGGTTCAAGTTCACCAGTTGCTCCTCAGAAACCCTATACAGGGTCGCTATGAGTCAGAACCAACTCTATAGCACTTAACAACAACATGCAGTCCTTTTATAAAGAGTCTTGGCAATGCAGTTGTTTAGCACTCGACTGCTAATCTTAAGATGGTTGTTGTTGTTAAGTGCCGTCGAGTTGGTTCTGACCCATAGCGACCCTGCATAGGGTTTCCAAGGAGTGACTGGTGAGCTTGAACTGCTGACCTTGCAGTTAAATGGCTTTGCAGTCTGGCACATTAACTCACAGCACCACACCAGAACTCTAATCATAAGGTTGGTGGCTCAATAAAGATTATAGCCTTGGAAAGAAACCCCATGGGGCAGTTCCACTCTGTCCTATAGGGTCCTATGTGTTAGAATTGACTCAACAGGACTGGGTTTGAGTTTGGGTTTACACACTCCTTTTTTATACAGAAACAGTCAGCTTACAGTATGTTATAACCAAGGTTGTTAGGCGAAAGCAACCCCTCCCTTCTCCACACCCCATGACAGAGTTTGCAATTTTCCATCACAGGCACAGTTTTCTCAATTTGGCAATTGCCCAAAAAGTTAAACATAGAAATACCATATGACCCAGTGATTCCACTCCTAAGATATACACCCAAAAGAAGTGAAAACAGGAACATAGGCAGAAACCTGTACACCAATGTTCATTGTAACACAATTCACACTAGCCTAAGGGTGCAAACAACTGAAATGTCCATCAGCAGATGAGTGGATAAACAAGTCTTAGTTTGTACGTGAGTGGAATCGTATTCAGTCATAAAGAGAAAGGAAGCCCTGGTCCACTTCACTACATGGGTGAATCTTGAAAACATCATGCTGAGTGAAATCAGTCAGTCACAAAAGGACAAGTATTGTATAACTCCACTTTAACAAACAGGCAAATGTACAGAGACCAAAGACTATAGGTAGTTGCTAAGGTGGGAAAGGACCCCTGGTAGTGTAGTGGATTACATGTTGGACTACTAACCACAAGGTCAGCAGTTCAAGCCAACCAGCTGCTCCACCGGAGAAAGATAGGGCTTTCTGCTTCTGTAAAGATTGACAGCTTTGGAACCTTATACTATGTGTAGGAACTGAGTCGACGGTACACCACCACCACCACCACCATCACCACCACCATCACCACCACCACCACCACCACCACCACCACCAAGAGTGGGAAAGAGGAGAAAAGGGGAGTTCTTTCCTTAGGGAGGCACGAAGTTTCTGTTAATAGTGGTGAAATGACTTGGAAACAGACAGTGATGATAATTGTACAACATAGTGACTATAACCAATGTCACTAAATTGTACATGTAAAAAACATTGGATTATGAAATGTTTTGTTGTATATATTTTATCACAATAACATGACTTTTTAAAAACAAACCTTTTTGAAAGAGCAATTTTCCTATAAGAAGCATATTCTAGACTCAGGGTTGTAAGTCCAAGTTCTTGAACTCTTAAGACAAAACTCTCGATATTATAAGATAACTCTGTCCTTCTTAACAAACAGACTCAACTGTGAGCCAAGATACAGAATACATATAGATTGAACCGCAGTCTCCTGGTACTACGTTTATATAGATTTGCTAACCTTTCCTCGACTGTCTACTATAGAGATGGTTGTCCCCACAAAGCACCAGAACCAACACAGAGGTCTTCACTGACACCTGATAGCTGAAAACGGATGCCTCTGTTTCCAGTATTATATCGAACCAATCTCAGTTTGAAAGGATAAAACTTCCAATTTTCTGTGTCCTCAACCATTTCAGTTATAATTTCCAGCTAAAAATGTGAAGATTATACTTTTCTATTTCCTTCATATTACAGTTTCTCCACTACAGTAGCAGTGACATTGAGTTCAGATTGTTCTTGGTTGTGCATTGTAGGATGTTGAGCAGCATCCCTGGCTTCTACCTATGACGTTTTAGTAACACCCCTTCTGTAAGTTTGCTTACCAAAAATGTCCTTAGACATTTCCAAAGTCAGTGCAGGGGTAATGGGAGCACAATCAGCCCTGACTGAGAACTGCTATTGTATAGAATGCAAATGGGAAGAGTGCTGGTTCCAGTCATTTAGATGCAAAGGTTACTCAACTATCTTGCCCACCCTCTGCCCTTCACTCTCCATTCCAAGAGTAACTCCACCAACGTCTTTTACAGCAATCACCTCCTCAATTACACCACCAACCGAAGACAAGGAAAAGGTGAGTGGAAACTGAGCCCTGGAACTAACCAGGTAACAAATATTATTTACAAAGCCCAGAATGTAGGACTGGGTCTGTATATTCTGGGATTAATGCCCCTCTAAAGACAGAGATCTAACTGGGAGACAGAGAAAAACCAACTGATAATTTTATGAGAAAATCTGGCTGAATAGTTTCCCCAATTATTCTCATCCTTCTCTCTACCCAAGAAAGGCAAACTAAGAAAATGTGTATTAGGGTATGTTAAGCTGCAGCAACAAAGAGAACCAAATAGCCAATGACTTTTTAAAAAATGTGCATTTATTCTTCTCTCCATTAACAGTCCAGAAGTGAGCTGTGTGGGATAGTGGAAGGATTTGGTTTTGTGAGAACATTCAGGGTTCCAAGTTCTTTGTGTGTTGTGGCTCCACCATCCCCTGGGGTGCTGATCTCAAGTAAATTGTAAGAGCATTGGTGGTAGGAAAAGGGGAGAAGGGAGTCCAGGCATATTGATAGGCGTGAAAGGTGAAGATAAAAGAATGGAGAGAGGGAATGCATCAACTCACTATATGAGATTCTAGGTGGTACAGATGATTTGTGCTCAGCTTTTCATCCACTCAGCAGTATGGGAGACTTTTGTTAGGATTACAGCCAAGAAAACCCCATGGGGCAGTTCTACCCATGGGTCAACATGAGTCAGAATTTACTTCACAACAACTAACAGTAACAACAATTTTATGATCGTTTTCTTAGAGGCAGGTCTTAGCCAAGCCTGAATCTTACCAAATAGGATGATCCACATTTCTGAGAACCTACAGTCTAGTAGACTGGGTCTGTCCCTCCTCTCTCACTCCCTACCCGGCCCCTACCCCTCACCCCCGCCCTGCACTACCCATGGAGAGTCTTCTTATGCTCCCCAGCTTTCAGGTCTCGCTCTTCCCTTTACCTGAAACCCCCTTTCCCTTTTCCTCACCTGATCATCTGCCTTGCACTCTTCTCTGCTCAGGATTCAGTTCAGTTATCCCCTGGAACACCTCCCTGTTGCCCTCCATCTGAGTTAATACCCCTTCTTCTATGTTCCTATGCTTGGAGGTGGCAGGGTGTGGGGGGGATGGATGTGGGGGTTAGAAATGTGGACTCTGGAATTCCACAGACTAAGGGTCAAATCCCTGCACCACAATGGCCAGTGGAATTGGGCAAAGTGACTTAACTTCTTGAGCATTTATTTACTGATCTGTAAAGTGACGGTCATAATAGCACCCACCTAACTGGATGAAAATAGGGGTCAATGAAATCATATAAGGTCTTAGCACAGTGCCTAGTCCAGAGAAGTGTTCTACTCATGTTATCTTTTGTCACCTCCAGCAAGCTGAAGACACCGACATGATGTGCGGTCACCCCTACACTGCCAACCCCTTGAAGGCAGGGACAGGACTGAACTCACACTAGGAATTCAACAAATGTTCATGGAATGAGTGAACAGTAATCATGTCAGTGCAAAGTCATTGTACTGAATCAGCCACAACAATGTTGTTGTTGTTGTTATGGAGTCGGTTCCAACTCATAGCAACCCTGCACATGGTTTCCGAGGTTGTAAATCTTTATGGGAGCAGAAAGCCTCATCTTTCTCCCGTGGAACAGCTGGTAGTTTTGAACTGCTGACCCTGAGGTTAGCAGTCCGATTCATAACCACTACGCTACCAGAGCCACGACAATAGCAATTCTTAAAAGCAACTCTTTCAGCACATACTCTGTACAAATGAGTTTAAACCAAGAAGACTTCAGTGGTCATTCAGAGAGGAAGAGATGTTTTACTTATCAGGCAGGAGGTGGGAAGTTGCTCCTAAAATAGAAAGCTTGGGCTCAGAACCCATGAAGACTCAGTGAACTGAAAGAGTAGAACATTCAAAAGGTATTCTTGAACTCCAGTTCTGAAAGACCTTCTAGCCCTTTATAAATGCTACTCTGGTTTGGTAGCATTTTCCTCTTAAGTGTGTTCATTCCATGGATGAATGTTGATTGAGCACCTACTACTTACTAAGGAGAGCCTTGTTGTTACTAGGTGCCATTGAGTTAATTCTGATTCATAACAACCCTATGGGAGAGTGGAACTGCCCCACAGAGTTTCAAGGTAATGTGCCAGACTGCAAGGTCGCCTTGAACCACAAGGTCGGCAGTTCAGGCTCACCAGCTGCTGCTTGGAAACCCTATACAGGGTTACTATGAATTGGAACTGAATTGACCGCACTTAACAACAACAATCTTTAAAGAAACCTTGGTGGCAAGGTGGTTAGGAGATTAGCTGCTAACTGAAAGGTTGGCTGTTCAAACCCACCAGCCACTCACTTCATGGGAGAAAGATGTAGCAGCTGCTCTCATAAAGATTTATAGCCTTGTGAGTCCTGTGGGGGCAGTTCTACCCTCTCCTATAGGGTCACTGTAAGTTGACTATGAATTGGAACTGATTCTAACAGCAACACGTTTTAATCTTTATGGGAGCAGATTCAACATTTAATCATTGTGCCCCCAAGACTCCTTCAGGCTAGTCCTAAGTCCTGGGAAACAGCTATAAACTAGACACAGTTCCCACATTCATGAGACACTGTCTAGCATTTCAGTGTGCACACAAATCCCCAGGGGGTCATGTTAAAATGCAGATTTGGATTCAGTCCACCTGGGTCCGGCTGAGGTCCTGTTTGTCTATAGGCTCCCAGGTGATGCTGACTCTGCTGGTTCCAGGATACACTTTAATACAAGGATATGGGAATCTGTATAAAAATAGTATTTCAGATCTCCTGTATTACAATTGTAGAAACCTCATCTTTGGCCATTCATCCTTCTCTAGCCACTTGACCTGCCTTTTTCCTCTCCTAAATAGACTAATTTCTGGATTTAAAATGGCCAGACAAATGTATTTTTTTTTCCACAATTCAAAAAACAAAAGTAAACATCTAGATAGTCTTCCTTACTATAACTCTATTTTAGGGTTTCTCAACCTCTACACCATTAATACAGTTCTCTGTGCATTGTTGGGCATTGAGCAGCAACCCCAGCCTCTACCACTAGATGTCAGTAGCACCCCTGCCCCAGTTGTGACAAGCAGAACTGCCTCCAGGCATTGACAAATGTTATCACGAGAACCAGTGACCTATTTCGGGTAGGCTTACGCCCTCACTGTTTGTAGAACACATTACTAACTACTAACCTTTACACAGTGTTTACCAGGCACAGACACTATTCTGATGTTGCTATTGTTGTTGTCAGTTGCTGTGTAGCCACCCCCAGCTCATGGTGACCCCATACACAATGGAACAAAATACTGCCCAGTCCCGTGCCAATCCCATAACTGGTTGCAGATAGTACAGCTGTAATTCATAGGATTTCCATTGACAGAGTTTTGGGAATAGATCACCAGGCTTTTTTTCCTAGTCTGTATTTTTTCCTAGTCTGTAAGCTCCACTGAAGCATTTTCATCATCATAGCAACACATAAACCTCCACTGACAGACAGTGATGACTGTATTTGAAATACATTGGCCAGGAATTGAACCAGGGTCTCCCACATAAAAGGCAAGAATTCTACCGCTAAGCCACCTCTGCTCCCTCTAAAAGTATAGCAGTTCTAACTCATTTAATTCTCCCCAAAAAGCTTTGAGATACAAGTACTGTTCCATCTAAGGTGGGGAAAATGAGGCCCAGCGTGACTGAGTGACTGGTCCAAGATCATTGGTCCAAGATCACCTGTCAGTAGTGAACCTGGGAATTAAGTTTGGGTCATCCTGCCAGAGCCTGCTTTCTTATGCTTTCTAATGTCCCTCAAGATGGGGGACATGTTACAGTGGATTTCTTTTATTCTTTTTGTCTTCAAAGCTGCAACAGGTTGTTAGCAAGTTGGAATCACTTGTCAACAATAAGACTCACTGGGAAAATGCAGAAAAGGGAGAAGTCGCAACCATGGCCACACTTATTCTCCAAAAAGTGGAATCGCATGTTCTGGAAATTGCTTTGAAAGCCCCAGATCAAAAAGTCCAAAAAGTCCACAATAGAAGTATAGGTAAGATGACAATAGGGACAATAGGGTTCACAGTGGGCACTAGTCACTAGCTGGATTCTGGGCAAGCAGTTATCAAAATAAATAGAGAAACTATTAGAGGAAATGTTTAGTGTCTCTATTATGTGAGGGTTTATGGCTGTATCCACACAGCAAAACTCACCATATTGCATACTTTAAGTATGCATCCTTTATTGTTTGTAATTTACATCTCAATAAGGAGGTTTTCCTTTCTGAAAAAAGGTTACCAAGAGTCTCCAGTATTTGGTCTCAGATTTTGGCTTTTAGGATTTTGAAAATTTGGTGTATATCTTTCTCTGGAGAGTCTCTGGGTGAAAGAAGATGGGAAGCATGGTTCTTGGTATAGGGATACACCATCATTTACTTAATAAGCTCCTTCTTGTTAAACACCTAGATCATTTTTCCCCATTATTTATAGAGCCATGAACTTTCTTGCAGCTACATCTGTCCATACTTGTCTTTAATAATTTATTTCTGAAATAAAGTCCTAGAAATTAAATCATTGCTTCAAAGCTGATGTGTCTACTGTGGTAAAACTTGGTTTTAGGAGGTACGGTCTTAGCCTAAATTCTGAACCACAGTTTCCTCAACTGTATAATGGGGTTGTAGAAGGCTATTATAAAAGTGACACACGTAAGGCCCTTAGCCCAATAACTGGTCCATCCCAGACATCCAGTAGATGCAGGCTGTTCGTGTTGGTCATGCACAGGTTTATAGCTTTTTATGATGTTTGTAAGCTTATTTATTTTTTCACTTTACTAGCTGTTGAAACTCGAGTTGTTACAAACAACTGCTCTGAGGGAGGAAAGATCTTCAACTTGCAGGCCGAAAAAAATTCCGTGGACATCGACTGCAATGACATCGTCCAGGGAAATATACAAGGTACATGTGACAGCTACACTTCCTCCACACAGTATCATTATGTGAGTCGTGGGGAAACATTCCCAACAGACTCCTCCCTCATGGATTTGTTTCCCTAAGATTGTATCATCTGAAGTTTTTTCTCTGAAAAAAAAATCAAAGCTGGAGGGTTTCTGTTCTTCATTGCAGACTGACAGAGTGCAGACATCCTAAATAAAACTAGATGGGGAGCCCACGGATCCTGCAGCTCTGGATAAGCAAAGGTTGCTGTAGGTGTGTGGTTATCAGGCAGCAGATGTTTATTGAGCATGTCATCTACTATGAGCTCTCTGGGTGGCACAGTTTGCACTCGAATACTAACCTAAACATTCCTGATTTAAACCTATCCAGTAACCCTGCAAGCCAAAGGCCCGTGATCTGTTTCCATAAAGAATGCATCTGAAAAAAAACAGAGTGAGTACTTGTACTCTGTAACACATGAGCTTGCTATGAGTGGGAATTGATTCAAATACAATGGGGGAAAAATGAGCTACTATTTACTAGGCTCTGTCCTAGTGAACACACACACATTAGCTCTCCTATAGCTTGTCTAGTTAAGAGAAACAGTCTAGTCATTAAATACAATGGACTTCAAAAAGTTTGTGTAAATATGGAATTTTCCACAAACTTTTTTTTGCACCAAACACTTTTGCATTTATTATTTTTTAAGCAAATGACAAAGATCCAGTTCACCAGCTTTACTGTTAAACCTAAGCTTAATTTGCATATTTAAACAATTTTCAAAACTTGCTAAATTGCCAGCATTCATGCACAACTAGAAAACATCCTTAATTTATATTAAACCAGAAATGTATTACCATTAGATTATTAACATCTTCCACTACTCAATACTGAAGGAAAAAAAAATTTATTTTTGTTGAAGATTCATTCTGGCAATGTTATCTTCACAGCCGACTGAAATGACTTGGCTCACATTTCAGACAGAATGAAAAAAGCAAGATCATGCTGGTGATAGTGAGCAATTTTCTCCTAGCTCTACTAAAGAATCATTGTTCACCTTGGATTAAGTTTAATAAAAAAGCAAAGTGCATACATACATTTACAACAGTTTTAAAGACAAAAATAAAAAGGTCCTATTAATGTGCTTCCAAAAATAAACTCAAAGTCTATGCCAAATAGGTGCACCGATGAGCTGTTTATAAATACTTTAGATTAGGGACAGTTATACTGAAAGTAGAGTTCCTTTGAAATCTTCAAAAAATGTTCCTGTTAATCCTCAAATGGTGATTGTAATAGTTGAACATTTCTGTTAAATACGTGCATTGAATTACTTGTTATCCAAGCGTAGCGGCTGCTCCTTACCATTTATTGTTAAGGACTTGAACTGGCCATCTTCTTCAACTCCTAGTCTTTCTTGAATGTTCTCAACAATTCCCTTTGTAATGATTTTTCTGCCATGATCCAGTGAACTAAATGTAGTAAATCTTGTATCAAAAGAAGGAAATACAGCTCCAAAAGACGGAAACCCACTGAAGGCAGAGAAAAGGGATACTGCGCCTCGGTTTCAACTCCCACAGGGGCCTCTGCGATTCCCAAAAAATATCATCAAATGGATTTTCAAAGAAGTCAAATGAAAGTGGGTCCCTTCCACCAAAAACATTCCGTGAAGACATCATCTGGATTTCGGAATGTGAATCCAAGCTCAAATGGACTACTAAAATGACTTCCACCTCCACCTCCATTTAATCCTTCTTTGCCATATTTGTCATGGTGGTGGTGGCTGTGTGCCGTGGAGTTGGTTCTGACTCATAACGACCCTGTAGAGGGTTTCCGAGGCTGTAAATCTTTATGGGAACAGAACACCTCATCTTTCTCCCACGGAACAGCTGGTAGTTTCGAACTGCTGACCTTGTGGTTTGCAGCCCGATTCGTAACAACTCCGCTACCAGAACTCCTTATATTTGTCATAGATGTCCCGTTTTTTAGCATCTGATATCACCTCATATGCCCCAGCTATTTGTTTGAATTTTCTCTCTGCCTCTTCCTTATTCTCAGGATTTTTATCAGGATGCCACTTTAGTGCCAATTTACGGTATGCCTTTTTAATATCCTCAGGTGAGGCATGTCTCTGCATACCTAGAACTTCATAGTAATCCACCATGTTTTAGAAGATTGTTGGAACAAGTTCTGAGTAGGTTGGCAGCCAGAGGCGAGAAAGAGGAGAGGTTGGGCGGTGGAGCCCATGTTCTCCTCTCAGGTCCGGCACTGCTGAAGCTGGTGGAGGCGGGGGCGATGATTCCTCCACAGACTTTCTAAAGATCCCTCGGATATACAATTTGTAACAAATAATTCTCAGTGCACGCAAGATGTATTAATAATTACTGGTGATTGGAATACCAAAGGTAAAAACAAAGAAGAAGAATCAGTAGTTGGAAACTATGGCCTTGGTGATAGAAAAGACTCTGGAGATTGCAGGATAGAACTTTGCAAGACCAATGACCTGTTCATTGGAAATACCTTTTCTCAACAACATAAATGACAACTGTACATGTGGACCTTGCCTGATGGAAAACACAGGAATCAACTTGACTACATTTGTGGAAAATAATGATGAAAAAGCTCAATATCATCAGTCAGAACAAGGCCAGAGGCTAACTGTGGAACAGACAATCAATGGGTCATATACAAGTTCAGGTATAAGCTGGAGAAAATTTCAACTAGTCTACAAGAGTCAAAGTACAACCTTGAGTATACTGCACCTCGTTTTAGAGTCCATCTCAAAAATCAATTTTACACATTGAACACTAATGACCAAACACCAGATGAATTGTGGAATTACACTAAGAAAAAAAAATATCATTAAAAAGACAGGAAAGGAAAAAAAAGACCTAATTGATGTCAGAACAGACTCTGAGTTTTGTTCGTCATTGTAGAGTAGCTAAAGCAAATGGAAGAAATGGTAATGTAAGAGAGCTGAAACAGAAGATTTCAAATGTGACTCAGAAAGCCAAAGTAAAGCATTGCAATTCAATGTACAAAGACCTGGAGTTAGGAAAACAAAGGGAAGAACACATTCAGCATTTCTCTGGTTAAAAGAACTAAAGGAAAAATTCATGCCTTGAGATGTCATATTGAAGGATTCTATGGGCTGAACAATACTTTTAAAAAGTTCCTGTGCAGCAGATTTGCCCAGTGCAATACGTCGTCTGATCTCTTGACTGCTACTTCCGCGAGTGTTGATAGTTGATCCAAGAAGAATGAAGTCCTTGACAACTTCAATCTTTTCTCCATTGATAAGAATGTTGTTTATTGGTCCAGTGGTGAGGATTTTTATTTTCTTGACATTGAGGAACTTTTTAAAGTATTGAAGAGCAGAGATGTCAGCTTGAGGACTAAGGTGCGCCTGACCCAGGCCATTGTGTTTTCAATAGCCTCATATGGATGCGAAAGCTGTACAGTGAATAAAGAAGATCATAGAAGAATTGATGCCTTTGAGTTGTGGTGTTGGAGGAGAATACTGAAAGTGCCATGGACTTCCAAAAGAACCAATAGATCTGTTTTGGAAGAAGTGCAGCCAGAGTGCTCCTTGGAGGCCAGGATGGCTAAGCTTCATCTCTCCTACTTTGGACATATTGTCCGGTGGAAACAGTTGTTGGAGAAGGATGTCATGCTGGGTAGGGTGGAGGGTCAGAGAAAAAGAGGAAGACCCCTAATGAGATGGATCGGCCAGGTGGCATCATTGATGGACTCAAGTGTGGCAGCGGTAGTGAGGTTGGCCCAGGATCGGACATTGTTTTGTTCTGCTGTGCATGGGGTCGTTATGAGTCGGTTCCGACTCGATGGCACCTGACAACAACAATGGGCTGAACAACACAGGAAACATCAAGTGAAGATGGAAGGAATGCATAGAGTCACTCTACCAAAAAGAATTGGTTAACATTCAATCAACTTAGGAAGTAGCATATGTTCAAGAGCAAATGATATTGAAGGAGGAAGTCTAAGCTGCTCTGAAAGCATTGGCAAAGAACAAGTCTCCAGGAATTAACAGAATGTCATTTGAGACTTTTCAACAAATGGATGGAATGCAGGAAGCACCAAGAACTTTGGAAGACAGCTACCTAGCTAATTGACTGGGAAAAATTAATATTTGTGCCCATGCCAAAGAAAGGTGACCCAAAAGGAGAGGGAAACTAAAGAAAAATATCATTAATAACATAAGCAAGTAAGTTTTTACTGAAGACAATGCAAACAAAGTTGCAGCAGCACATTGACAGCAAACTGTCAGAAAATCAAGCTGTATTCAGACAAGGACTTGGAATGAGGAACACCATTGCTGATGTCAGGTGGATCTTAGCCAAAAGCAGAGAATACCCGAAAGATGTTTACCTGTGTTTCATTGACTCTGCAAAGGCATTCAACTGTGTGGATCATAGCAAATTTTGGAAAAACAATAAAAAATGAGAATTAAGAACATATATAAATTGTGCTCATGCTGTGGCACTGTAGGAGAAGTGCTGGACTGTTAACCCCAAGGTCAGTGGTTCAAACCCACCAGTCACTCCTTGGAAACCCTACATAGGGTCGCTATGAGTCAGGACTAACTGCACTTAACAACAACAATTGTGCTTATGAGGAACCTGTACAATGCACAATAAGCAGTCATTTGAATAGAACAAAGAGACACTGAAGGGCTTAAAATCAGGAAAGATGTGCACAAGAGTTGTGTACTTTTTTAATCTGTATGTTAAGCAAATAATCTGAGAAACTGGATTATATGAAGGAGAACATGACATCAGAATTGGAAAATGACTTACCAATATCCTACAGTTTGCAGATAACACAGCCTTACTTGCTGAAAGCAAACAAGACTTGAAGTACTTATTGATGTAGATCAAGGACTATAGCCTTCAGTATGAACTACATCCCAATATAAAGGAAATAAAAATCTTCACAATTGGATCAATAAGCAACATCATGATAAACAGAGAAAAGATTGAAGTTGTCAGGGATTTCGTTTTACT